GGGATCCAATTCATTTGTTCATGTTTTCTTCAAAGTTAGATGGTCTGTCACCTGAAGCACCTGTGATTCAGAAACCTGGCGATCTGCAGTGGGATGGCCGAGGGAGTCAGTCCCCGGGGCTGTGCCCGAGGGCCCCAGAGCTGGCGCCTGGAGGCCGGTCACCTGCACTTTGATGAGTGCATCTGTTTACTTCCTGTAGGTTTCACCTGACACCCGCACATTCATCAGCCTGAAGAGAGAGGGTGCCAGCGACCAGCCCTGGTGGAGGAGGAGCGTGAACAGGAGTGGGGTCCGGCCCTCTGTCGCACCCGCCCCTCGGCCGCGTGTCTCACCCCGTCCACTCCATGGAGGCGTGTCCACGCCCTGTTCTCTCCAGTACTTGCGAATGAGACGCCTATTGTGTGTGGATTTCTCTCAAGAGCTAAATAGCTCGGTCAACTCAGAATAAGTTGAGCTTCTTAACTAATGTCTCCTCAAGTTTGCAACGTTCGGCAATGAACTGAACCACAGGCAGCCGGCGGCCTGTTAACATTTCAGTGGAAGAAGCACCGAATGAAAGGAGGGTGCTCGACCCGCGGGGCCTCTCCGTTCAATGACCGGTTTCACTGCAAACGCTCACGGGTCCCCGGGCCTCACTTGCTGTCACTCGCCAGCGTCGGCACAGACGGGCAGTCACGCTTCTGGTCCGTTCCGGCAATGCGTGCTTAAACCACTTGATTTTCTGTCTGTTAGAGGCAGCCATCACCAATTTGCTCTTTTCTATTCAGGCATCTCTTCCAAGGAGGGTTGGGAAAGCAGCCAGCAGGGATATTCGAGGGGAAACGGTGGACAGTTTGGTGATAGGCAGTGGGAAATCAGACCATTTAACACGGGCCCCACGGACCTGACCCGTGAACTCTGAGTAGCTCTCACATGTGAGCTCGTGGGAAGCGGAGGGAGGACCGCCCTCCGCATGTGAACACGGCCGTCCTCAGTGAATGTGACCTTCCAGCAGGCCCACGCCTGAGCTTCAGGACAGAGGGTGGTTTAGTTAACAATGCACATTTAATAGGCCCCCTGTCCTCAAAGTATACATGGCAGAGAGAAGGCCCAGCCACGCCTTGGCCGGCACACATGAACGCTGCATTATTTCTGGTCCCAAATGCTTTTTGAAAACCTGGCGTTCCTCATCTCAATGGAACTCATTTCCTCGGAACCGGGCAGCTTTCTGGCGGCGCCCCTGAGTAGGAAGTGCGAGGCCTCTGTGCCGGGGCTGAGGCACAGGCGGGACACTCACCTGTGGGGTCCAGGGAGTCCGGCCCCAGGTGGAGGCTGCATAGTGTGTTTCAGCCACAGGCCCAGCCAGGTCTCAGCTGACCGCCAGGCGGGTCAGGCCTGGCCTCCACGCTGCCCAGCGGATGCCCAGGAGGCGAGATGACCCGGCCTGTTGCCCCATGCGAATTGCAGATTTATGCGCACGATTATAAAGCACTGAACCTGGGGCAATCTGGTACATCAGCGTGAGTACGGGGCGAATAAGGAGAAAGTGTAAGCTGTTTGGGACCAAGTGACCTTCACCGCGTCACGTGGTGCAGACACACAGCTGTGTCAAGGGATGAGCCCCTCTCTGTTCTCCACGCCATTCTGAGTGCAGAGCAGAGGAGGGAAGGCGAGAACTCCCGCCCCGAGCGTTCTCCCCACGTGGTGAGTGCAGTGACTGCGGGAAGTGGGGCGTCACAGCCTCCTTCCGAGATGCCTCCGCTCGCCACAGACACCCCTTCCTCCCCCCTTCGTGCAGCCCCCGGCCCCGTGTTATCTCCGTCCTACTCTCTGTACCCCTCTTTCTCACCTTTTCTATCTACACGTTAGATGCTGACACACATGTTGTCGAATGTTTGGGGACGTTGTTGGGGTCATGGTGGGTGGACGATGAAACCTGCCCCCGGGTGGTTCTGAGGGAGGGCAGAGCGTATAGATAAGGCGCTGCCAGCACTTCGTCTGCAGGACAGGGTGTGAATGAGTCCGTGTGGTGAGCGAGGGGTTGGTGTGTCCCCAGGCGTTTGAGACGGGCAGTGAGAGTGTCCGTGACAGCCCGGGTGCGGGCTCAGGGTGGAGATGCCGGGATGTGGTGAGCGTGGCCTTGCGTCAGGGGCTGGGAACCGGCGTCCACATGTTGTATTGAAGGAAGTGACTCCGCTGCCCCTGGCTCTAGTCCCCTCAGCTGGACCTGGGTCGCCAGGCATGACCTTCCGCAGCAGACAGAACCCTTGCTGGGCGTGGCTTCTCCTGCCTCTGGGCCTTTGGCCGGCAGCGGGTCACTCGGGCTTGGGCTGGTCGGTGTTGGCCCGTGACCGAGCTCAGAACCGGGAGCCGGGAGCCCCAGCCCAGCACCTGTGTCCTGTGTCCAGGGCACTGAACCCCGGGCCTGCTCACTGTGTTGTCCACCTTTAGTGGCTGCGGAACACACCAGTGTTGGCCAGACATGCGGCCGGCAGGGCATACTCAGCACGCCGCTCCCGGAGGGCCAGCGGGTGCACCTCTCCCTTGGGGAGCTGGTGTCCAGCTCTGATATAAAGGGGGGTGTCGGGAAGCCAACCGCGCCCTCCCCGCAGAAGGGGCCCGAGGCCTGGCCAGGAGCCAGGTCAGAATGTGGACTTCCTGCTCAGACCGCCTGTCCGGTGGGGAAGGCTCCGGGCCCTCCCGCTGGCCGTGAAGCAGCAGACAGACCCCACGCAGGACCAAGTCCCTGGACACACACATTTTTGGACGCAGTCCTTTCCAGGAGGTGAGATTCTCAAAAAGAAACACCCCCCCCCCCACCACCCCCGAACGCCTGAAATCTGCCCCAGAAGTAAGACCAATCCCAGGGCCAGAGCCCTCTTAACCGCCCAGGCCCCGCGCACACCCTCCCCCGCCTCCCGCCCCCACACCCACTCAGCTGCCTCCCGCTTCCTCCACAGGGCAGCCATTTGAGCAGTGCTGCGAAGGGAGAGTCTGGGGGACGAGAGACGCGGTCAGGTCAGGGGAGTGTCCACCTGGGGCAGGGAGAGGAGGCCCCAGCCTCGGGTGGATGGACAGGATGGGCGTCGGGGGTAAAAGCCCGAGCCCCATGAGGCTTTTACGAAAGGGGGACTACACAGCACAGCACTTTGGAGAACAGTCTTGCAGTTGATCAAGTTAAACACCCATTTTCTGTACGACCAGCAATTCCACCTCTAGGCGTTTTACCCGGGAAAATGAACACACGTCTGTGTGAACTTCGTGTGCAAACGCTCCCAGCACTTTCCTCCCAGTAGCCCCAGCTGGAAGCAACTCCAAGCCAGATGCCGATGCTAATGGAATCGGGGTGCGGCCGTGCTAGTGGAATCGGGGTGCGGCCGCGCTAGTGGAATCGGGGTGCGGCCGCGCTAGTGGAATCGGGGTGCGGCCGCGCTAGTGGAATCGGGGTGCGGCCGTGCTAGTGGAATCGGGGTGCGGCCATGCGGCGGAATCAGGGTGCGGCCGTGCTAGTGGAATCAGGGTGCAGCCATGTGGCGGAATCAGGGTGCGGCCGTGCTAGTGGAATCAGGGTGCAGCCATGTGGCGGAATCAGGGTGCAGCCGTGCTAGTGGAATCAGGGTCAGCCATGCGGCGGACCTCAGCGATGAGAGTGAGCACAGGCAGCTGCAAACGAGAGTGAACTTGGGAAGCAGTTATGCTAAGAAGCCGGCCGCACAAGACTGCAGAAGTATGGCTCTGTTCAGAATATTCTAGAAAAGGCAAAACTGTAGGTGGACAGTCACTGGCTGCAGGGACAGCCACGGGAGGAGGGGGGCACAGTGGGATGCGGGGGGAGGGCAGTGGTTTCTATCCTGGCTGTGGAGGTGCTTCTGGGCTGGAATGACCTGGCATCACACACATGCCATCCGTGGGGGCTGGTCTCTCCACCAGCCTCCCGCTCTCCTGCCTAAATCCTGAGCTGCTCTCCCGGTCAAGGCTACGTTTGATGTTCCATCGAAGCCAGCATCACCAAGGCGGATCAGGCCAAGGCTTCCTGTCCAGCCCTCTGCAGGACAGCACGGACAGGGAGAGAAAGATGAGGTAAAAACACCACGGGCAAGACGGGAGGTTCACACGGCCTTGCCACCTGTAACCCGGCACGCGCTGGATCTCACTTCCGTGTCGCAGGAGCAGAGGCACAGCCCACGCTGTAAACGTTGGGCCGGCACAGCTACCCCGGGCGTTGGCCAACGCACCGGGCATTTCTCCCCAGGAAAAGGCCTGTGAACAGGCGAGAGCAGACCTCAGGGGTGCAGGCAGGTCCTCCTCGGGGGACTGACCCTCAGGCCCGAGGAAAGGGCTCAGCGAACATGCCACTAATTTTGTGTGACTTATCAGTGGCCTGTGACTTGTCAGACCAGGCAGCACAGAGCCCGCAAATGCACAAATAGAAGCGGCGACTCCACCGCCGAGCCCACTAGGTGGCGCCCAAGTCTAACGCCAGTCTGGGCGACCCAGCTCCAGGACAAGCCCAGCCCCACTGCCTGCCCTTCAGGGGGATCCGGTGACAAAGGAGCAGGCTATGCAGGGCCCCTGGCACGGACTCCCACACGATGGAGCTGCTGAATGTCCTTAAATGACCCCCGGGATCACAGCTGCCCGAACTCTCTGGGCCTGTGTCAGGGGAGACGCTCCTCGCTCGTGTGCAGGCAGGACGCTGATTTCCAGCCGCACCTGCAACCCCGGCGTCAGTGACCACAAGCAAAGGCGGGTGGGGCCAGTCGACCCCTGAGGCAAACGAAAATATTCAGAGTGGGCTACACCCTCCGGACCCCACCCACTCCCTGGTGGTTGATCCGGGTCGGGGTCCAGGCGAGCATCTCCTTACAGTCAACATCGTTCGCTACTTAGTGCACTTCCTCCATCTATCAGCCCACACCTGTGGGGAATCTCCCGGCCGCAGACAATTCAAGGGGATCAGCTAGGAGCCTGACGAAATGATGCATTTTTCATCTTCCACCTCATTTTCAGACTGGCTTGTGTGTGTGTGAAGATCCTTTAGGTGCGCAGGAGTCCTCCAGGGAGGAATGGTGGCAGCAGCTCCTGCATGAGGTCGATGGCGCTTCTCCCGCTGATGGGCGAGCCCTACTGTGTGGGACCTTCCCAAGAAGCCGAGCAAGACGGAGGTGCAGCCCTCCCGCAGGTTTGTGCAGTCAAGCCGCCCTGCGCAAGGCCGCGGGTTCCGGACACAGTTCAGCCAAACCCCTGGCTCTGACCCCTGAATGAGGGGGAGGAACTCATCACACAGCAAATGCAAACTGTCTGAGCATTCCGTTCAGAGAGATGGTGCGTGGCCTACACGGTCACCAGCAATTTGGTGCAAGAATAAACGAGAGTGACATGAGGCGTGTGCGTCCCTAGGAGCCAGGAGGGCGGAGGCTGTAGAGGGGCATTGACATCCGGAGGCGAAGGCTCAGAAGGTTGGTACCAGATGTAGGAACAGGGAGGTGCTGCTGTGCATGTGGGGGGCGGAGAAGATGGAGCGAGTGAAGGGTGACGGATGCCCAGGGGCAGGTGCTGTTGGATGGACACCTGGCTGGTGTGGCTCAGGGAAGCAGGGCCTGCGTGGACGGGCGCCACCTGCTCTCCCTCCCCCCTCGCTGCAGACGACACCCACAGCCCAGGCACAGCTCTGGCCTCGGTTTAAACTCAGAGCTCAGGAAGCCATTAGATCCATCAGCGTTGACACTGAGGTTGAAATTTGTTTTCTGTTGAAATGCACGGAGAGTGTGGCGGGAGGTGACGAATTCGATTTGGCCGTGAGTGGAGCCTGGGTGCTTCCCGAACACCAGAGCAGGCCCTCCACGCACAGCTCACCGCCCCCAGTGTCCCTGTAGCCGCCCACAGACCCGGAGGTGGGCTTGTTATTCCACCAGCACGGTAACGTCTCCGAGACGACACAGGCACGAGGTCGACTGGGTCTCTATTCCCAGATCTGTTTGCTGCTGAAGTCCATGTTCTCTAGCTAAGAGGGAGGGGGGTGAGGGGGAGGGGATGGCAGAGAAGGGAGGAGGGGGAGGCGGAAACAGGAAGACAGGCCCCACTGGCTGACCCAGGAGCTGTCCAGGGTGCTGAGAACCGTGCCCTCCCATAACAGCAGGATCTCCCACCCCCAGCCTGTCCCCCCATGCCCTAGAGGAGTCACGTGGAGAGCCATATAAGAACATCTCTTTCTTCTACATAGTGGCTTCACGCTGGCACTTCCCCGGGGTTTACGAAAAATCGTGCCCATGCGGCCTCTGGCAGGCTGCCTGCTCTGTGGGGTCTGTGCGGAAAGTGGGCGCAGTGTCCCTGGGGATTCTGCACAAGAGGAGGCTGGGAAGGAAGCGCGCTGAGCCAGAGGCCTGCCAGGGCCTGCGAATTCCCATCGCTGCCCCTGGAACGCACTCCTTGGACTCGCTCATGCAGCAGGCTCAGCTCACACGGGCACAGGCGCCCAAGATTTAATTAAAGGGACATGGATATGAACACTTGAAATCTGTCTTCATTTTCTAAGAGAACACCAGCTACCCAGGATCACAATTAGTGTGGTTTCCCCATTGACCGAATGCCCCGTGCCCCCACGTCCCCATTACTCCCACTGCCTCCTAATTGAATCCGCGCATGAGCCCCTTTCCTTCCGCCTTCTCCATCCGAGCATGAACTCACCGCAGCTGCCATCCACCTCCCAGTGTGCAGCACGCTCTTACTGCAAAGGCCCATTGCACTGGGGGTGCAGGCTCACGCACCTGCCTCAGCCCTCAGAGGCCAGGCCGACACCCCTTAATTCCAGGGAGGCACTGCCTATTGTGGAGGCCAAGCCTGTCTCCTGCTTTACTCCACCTGGAAGTCTCCTCTCTCACCATCTATTCAAACACAAACAAAAAACGCCAAGGCTCCGCGCAAGCCAGACTTCCTTCATCAGCTCCTTCTCAGCCTCCCTGGGCCCACAGCCCCATCTTCTGTGCTCAGTGCTTAAAACACACATGTGGGCACAGAATCATACCTAAGTTGGTGTTATTTTTTGTTTGTTAATCCTCACTCAAGGATATATTTTTCTATTGCTTTTTAGAGTGAGTGGAAGAGAGGCAGGGAGGAAGGGAGGGAGAGAGAAAGAGAGAGAGAGAGAAACTGATGTGAGAGAGAAACTGATGTGAGAGAGACACATATCAATTGGTTGCCTCCAGCACGTGTCTGGGCTGACACTCTAACCAATGAGCTGCACTAGGCAGGGCCGCGTCTTCTTTTCAACAAGATTTTGAACTTCTGAGGAATAGCAGCCATTGCTTTTGCTACAAAGTCCGGTATTTCAATAATCATTCATTGATTTATATTGTCTTTTCTGCTTCCATTGGAGGCAAAACAAGAAAGCCTGACAATTAATTGCAGCAGGTGAGATTGAGATGAGATGAAAATATTGACTGCGAGAACTGGGGATAGATAGTTGAGGCTACAGACATCTCTTTAAGAGAAATGACAGATCACAAGTAATTACCTGAGTGTCAGGGAACGACCGTAGCTTTGAAAAGTGACTAAAGGGGACTTCATGACATAGTCTATCATTCCTTTCCAGGTAACAGGAGGGTTTGAGCTGCCTGGGAAGTGAGTGCGATGGTCTTTACTTCTGAGGCCACACCTGTGCCTCGGACACACACTCCAACACTAAGGACAGCGTTAGCATCTGCTCACTAGGAGCACGACTCTGCTGTGCCTTTTGCATACAGCGTTCCACTTAATTTTTATAATGTGCCTATAGCAGCGGTTCTCAACCTGTGGGTCTCGACCCCTTTGGCGGTCGAACGACCCTTTCACAGGGGTCGCCTAAGACCATCCTGCATAGCAGATATTTACATTACGATTCATAACAGTAGCAACATTACAGTCATGAAGTAGCAACGAAAATAATTTTATGGTTGGGTCACAACATGAGGAACTCTATTTAAAGGGCCAGAAGGTTGAGAATCACTGGCCTATAGGGTGGGCATTATTATCATCTTTGGAAAATGTGGAAATTAAGATTTGTAGACGTACAGCATCTCTCACTGTCATCCCATAGTCGGCGTCAGACTGGTGCTCGAACTCAGGGCTTAGGTCCTCACTCCTGCCGCCTGCCGTGAGGCCAGGGTCAGGCGCCGAGGGCACACTGCCAGCCCACTGACATCCCAGCCTTTAAGTTAGAGAGGAATTCTGGGCAGAAGGAGCCTACGTCTCAGATTATTATTTTCACGGACGCAGACTGTAACTTCATAAGCCAACCAGAACTCCAAAGAGATACACTTTTTACAGTTTTGGTTGGTGCCTGCAAGATGCTGGTGAGTACAGTTAGGGCGACCATGTCCCAGCACGGCCTCCAACCCCGCCCGTCTCTCCTCTGACATTACTGTTTGCCAAACCCCATGAGGCCGCCCAGAGTTTCCTGAAAGTTGATTCTGTTGTGGAAGGAGCTGATGTCCTCCCGTCATGTGCTTTTCAGAATGAAGCCAACAGACATGAGACCACACGTTCAAACCTTCATTTCCTTTTAGAAAAGGACTCAAACCAAAGAGGAAACTAATTCAGGGCAAAGCCATGCCAGGAAAATGTGAAGAAGCAAACAATGTCTATGAATATACGTGACAGACGCTCCATGGAGAACGCGCAGCTGGCTATGACCTTCACTGTGGACGGAGCTGGCTGTGACCTTCGACCTTCACTGTGGGTTGAGCTGGCTGTGACCTTCAACCTTCACTGTGGGTGGAGCCAGCTGTGACCTTCACTGTGGACAGAGCTGGCTGTGACCTTTGACCTTCCCTGTGGATGGAGCTGGCTGTGACCTTCACTGTGGACGGAGCTGGCTGTGACCTTCACTGTGGACAGAGCTGGCTGTGACCTTCGACCTTCCCTGTGGATGGAGCTGGCTGTGACCTTCACTGTGGACGGAGCTGGCTGTGACCTTCGACCTTCCCTGTGGACGGAGCTGGCTGTGACCTTCGACCTTCCCTGTGGACGGAGCTGGCTGTGACCTTCCTGCACTGTGGACGGTTGCTTTGTTTTGTTGAAATTCTGATATAGAAACTTTGTGGACCACTTTATGTTAAACATAGCTGGACATAGCTTTAATTCTGGTTTGATAAGCAAATTTGTGTAAAAGATATGTCTTACAAGAATACAATTTTTGACAACTTCATATGTGAAAGTCGGACAAACCTACCCCTAGGTACTAGGTCGTTGAATAGATGAAAATTCGCTTCCTGGGAATGCGCCCGGCTCTGAGACAGAGGGCAGACCTGGAGGAGGAAGGTCACACACCGGCAGAGAGCGCCTCCTCTGGTTCATGAAAGGCTCGGCACATACCGGGGGGCAAAGATAGGCTTACAGTTGTCAGTATGTGAAACACAGAGTTTATCCCATAAACAGAGTCACTCATTAATTACTGCGTTATTTTCCATACGCGCACCTGTAAGCCGGGTTTGCCCCGCCCTGTGTGGGGCATGCTCCCCCATTCCCTCTGCCCCTGCAAAGAGGAAGGAGCCAGAATCCGGGGGCACTGGGCATTCAGTCCGACCCTTCTCTGTGGCTGGTTGGGAAGCCTGAAGCTAAGAGAAAAAGATCAAGCTGTAAATGACAAATAATCTCATCCTGTAGATGGAACAGCTTCTTGCTGGAAGCCGAGAATTTCGGGAAAGAGGAGGGAGTCCGTGCAAAGGTATAGACCTGTGTCTGCAGAGGGGCCGGGGAGCTGCTGGGGTTTGGCCTGCCAGTCATGTAATGTAACCATTTTAATAGACTCATTTGTATTTTAAAGGGACAGCGGTGCTTTCCGGAGCCCCAAGCCCACCCCTGCGTCCTGGTCCTGCCACCTGGCTGAGCACTTGCCCTCTGACAAGTTGAGGGGTCAGTAAGCTCCTGACATTGCAAAAACCTGAGGCCTAAAGGCTACCCCTGTTCAGAAACCCACTGTCTTGTTAATAGAAAGAAGATGTTGCTAATATTTGGTTAATTACATGATTCATTTTCCAAAAGCGATCTTAACACAGAGCGGAGCGTTGGGGTGGAAGGAGGCGATGTTGGGGGCTGTCAGTTTTCACAGAAATGGGAGGGTTCTCAGACCTCCTCACCCTCAGACGCTGCTCCCGGTCAATGTAAGAAGTAATTGCTACTTCATTCCCTGTCTGAGTCCTCAGAGGAAAAAACAAGTTAGCGCAACTAAAAGCTGACCTTTGTGGCTACAATGTAACCGAGGGCGTTGCTTTGAGAGCTGGGGTTGGGAGTCAGCCAGGCAGGGCGTGACTCTGGAGACGTGGGGCAGTCACTTGGCTGTCCACGAAGGCGCATGAACGTCAACCGATAAGTGACAGTGGTAATTATTACTGTGATTGTTTTAGAAATACCCACAGCTCATCCTCTGTTGGCATCCTCTATGGGGCACTGTCATCCTGAGATTGAAACCAAGTCACCATACTGTCCTCAGGTACGCCTCTGGTTTGGTACTTCTTCTTCTTCCTCCTCCTCCTCCTCCCCCTCCTTCTTCTATATTTACTGTATTGATTTTAGAGAGCGAAGAAGAAGAAGAGGAGGAGGAGGAGGAAGAGGAGGAGAAGAGAGAGACCTCTTGTTCCACCCATCCATGCATTCATTGGTTGATTCTTGTATGTTCCCTGGCTGGGGATTGAACCCCCAACATTGGTGTATTGGGGGCCACACTCTAAACCAGTGGTTCTCAACCTTCCTAATGCCGCGACCCTTTAATAGAGTCCCTCATGTTGTGGTGACCCCCAATTTCATTGTTACAAATTGAACATAATTAAAGCATAGTGATTAATCACAAAAACAATATGTAATTATATATGTGTTTTCCGATGGTCTTAGGCGACCCCTGTGAAAGGGTCGTTCGACCCCCAAAGGGGTAGCGACCCACAGGTTGAGAACCACTGCTCTAAACACTGCGGGACCGGCCAGGACAAGGTTTGGTAAACACTTGAGCTAGGTTCTCAGAATCTGTTTCTCCTAAATCCTGACGGGGCGGTAAAACATCAGCACCACGGGTTAAGCGTAAAATGCTTGTAGAGTTTTGAGTTTTACAGATTTATCTAAGGGGCCCGGAAGAGCCATCAGCTCCCATAAATTCTCTCGCTCCTAGCAGGGCAGATAAATCTCCGCTTAATTACGCTGCCTGCCGCGGCCTTTGCGGATGTGTATCTGCTTGAAAAATAACAGCGTGGCTCCTCCTCCAGGGAGACTGTGGCGTGTGCTTTAGGAGAAAGATGCCCGTGGACACTTTATTTGCACCGTCGCGGGTCATCTTCAGTTCCTCGGGCTTGATTTCTCTCCAGGATCACAGAAACCAGGATCACATTTCGCTGCGTATCTACCTGTATCTCTCGTGTCCACATGGAGTGATTTCTCCCTGTGTTTCCCAAGGCCTTGCCCATGCTCCGCCCAAGCCAGGCAGCGTGCGGGCGCAGACGGGAGGCTGTGCCGTGTACCCGTGGCGAGTGCTCCCGTGAGCACCGCAGCCGTCTGTTCAAACATCTGCGGGGAAATGGGAGGTCCTCGGGAACATTCACGGGAACCTGCGCCCGCGGCCAGCAGCCTGTCCGTGCTGGACCGTTCCCCAAGCACCTCACCTTCCCAACCGCTCAGAAGTGGGGAGGGGGCGAGGGAGGAAGGTGGGCAGGAACGAGAGGGTGGGATGAGTTGCGGGAGGACGGGCATGGGTGGAGGAGGAGGAAGGGGGAGAAGGAGGAGGGAAGAGCAGAATGGAGATGAACACCATAAAAGCCACCTGCCCGCTTTGCCAGGCCTGCGACCGTTCCCCGCGTCCCGCTCACAGGTGCTCCCGGCGCCTGGACGGGTCTTTCTGCCCCCGGGCTCCGAGGTGAGCCCCTATGAGGATTCCTGTGCTGATGGGCCCACCACGCTGCTCTCATGCTTTTCTTCCTGCACACACTTTGGGTCCCCAATCATGCATTTTTAAAAACAAATATGTTTTTATTGATTTAGAGAGAGAGGAATGGAGAGGGAGAGAGAAATACGGATGTGAGAGAGAACATCCATCAGCTGCCGCCAGGCCCCCCTCCCCGTCCTGCAGCTGGTGACGAAGCAACAAAGCACAGGGAGCCAGAGCCGGGCTGGCGGAGCCGGTCTGGGAGGGAGGCTGCCCAGGGGCAGGTGCTGGACTCGGGTGACCCTGACCCTGTGTGGGTCCCGGGTCCCAGAGGTCCTGCAGCATCAGCACCCCTGCGGTCAAAAGTCAAGACACCCGTTTTCTGCCCTCAATTCCTAAGAACTAAGGGCCTAGCCAGTGCGCCGCAGCTTCTCAGTACAAGGAAATGAAAACAGTCTTACCCATGAGGAATTTTGCTCAGGACATAGTATCCAGTGTAGGAGTGTTGGTGTATCTGAAACAGACAAGAAACAGAACAAAACAAGCAGTGAGACACGGCTGAGACCAGGGTGGCTTTCAGATCTCTGTGAACGCAGCGACCCATGGCCCTCCCAAGGGGGCTGTCGGGGCCGTCGGGAGCAGCACCTCTGTTAGTGGGTGCGTCCTGTTTAGTCTGTTTCCATCCCTTGCACACGGCTCACGGGCGGCGGAGGCTCGGTTATCTCCACGGCCACCTGGTTTGTGATGGAATCGGAGGCGAGGGTTTCCCGCTGCAGGAAATGTGGCCAGAGACACTCACCTGCATACTTGGGGAGAATTCTGCAAATTACGGCAAACTCCACAGGGTCCCTCATTGCAGGGGGAGGGGGCGTAGCTTTCACAGCAAAGGTAACAAAACCACCAAAACAGTGTTTCCCAGGCCTGCACCCCCGACCTGGGCTGCCCTCTTAACCGCCCAGGCCTGCACCTCACCTCCCTCTCCCCGAGCTACTTCTGAGGTGGCACCTGGGGGGCGTGTTCGGGGACTGGCATCCACAGCTGCCTTTCTAAGGACAGTAGGTGAGGGACCAAAGAGAGGTCTCCTGGGAAGCATGTGTCATAGGGGACGCAATTGGGGACCAGGAACATGGGATCATAAGGAATTTAAGTCCAGCCCAAGTGAGAGCTGATCTGAGGTCTGCCTCTGTCACACACTGGGCGTTGCCTGGACCAAGGGTGATCTCTTGGTGCTCACGTTGTAAGTCCAAGGTGATGGCTGTGGACTGAAAAATTCAGGAAACCAACAGATGTCGTAAGTATGCAAAGTAAGGGACCATGCTATCCTTTTTTTTAAAAAATATATGTGTTTACTTGATTTTTAGAGAGAGAGGAAGGGAGAGGGAGAGAGAGAGAAACATTGATGGGACAACGCTTCAACTACTGAGCCACACCGTCCAGGATATATGTTCTCGTTCTTGGTTGGAAGCCTATTTCTTTAATTCACCCAGAATCAACATATTCTCCGATTGTGCCATCATTCCCGAGCAAAGAGGAGACTCCACCCTTTGCGTCACTCTTTCAGGACACTAACTGAATATCTTCTGAGTGGAACCAGTGAGAAAAAGGGAGACATATATAATAATAAAAGCATAATATGCTAATTAGACCGGATGACCTTCTGGACGAAGCCAGGGCGGTGAGGGAAGCCCAGGTCCCCGGTGCCTGCAGGTAGCTGGAGGGAAGCCCGGGTCCTGGGTACCAGAGGGAAGCCGGTGCCAGCAGCTGGGGGAAGGAAGGCCTACTCTTGCAAGAATTTCATGCATCAGGCCTCTAGTCTATATATATAAAAGGCTAAGTTGACTTGTGCATGTGCGATACATATAAAGCTCTCGCTGGTGCCAAGCGCACGGGTGTGTTTCGATCTGTCATTGTCGATCGTGAATTTGGTTGACACTTCTATTATAGAGAAAGGGAAAATAGCAGTATTAAATATTTCTTCTGATTAATTTCCTTTCAATGTGCACAAATCCGTGCACTGAGCCACTAGTGTTAGAATAACCTCGCCAGGGCAATGGGAAGAAGGAGAAGAGCCAACTACCCATTTTTAATTCCCTGTCTGTATTGCCAAGCAGGGAGAAGGAAAGCCTACGTGGATGGAATAAAAGATGAAGTGGAATAAAATATCTGGAACACTGGACCACTACTGGCAAGGTTTAGAGAAAGACGAGAGAGTGAAGAGGTAGAGACCAGTGCAACCCGAGGTGCTCGGCTGGCCAAGTGGGGACACACAGGAAGGGCCCAGGAAACGCAGGGCACATGGGAGCCCTGAGAGGTGAAAGGGCAGTTATGGCTGCTGCTTCTCTTAAAAATGTGGGGAAGGGCACAACCCCGTGTTCGAATCATTTCATTTAGAACATCTACCCCACACCTGGCCAAGTTCTCTGACATCATCATGCAGTCACACCCTTTGTTGTAATGATTGAAAACTTTTTCCTAGAGGACTCCAAGTAACTAGGCACAAATTGAAATATTTAGTAAAAAGTAAAGATCTTTAGCTTCTGTGACATAAAACAATTACTAGGAAAAGACTCGATATAAATAAAAAGTTCATTGTTTTCCCCCTGTTTGCATGAATTTGTTTTTCCAACTATAAGGAACTAACAATTTAGTCTAACAATCCAGGCAAGAGTTGAAATAGAGGAGATTTACATTGTCAGCTTCAAAGTACAGAAGTCATTTACAATTCTTGGGATTTCTACCTCAACTCCTGTTTTCGGCCTAGAATACCTAGTTTTCCAAAAAAGTTCCTAAATTCGAGGTGCGTAGCTGGTGGTTTCGTCCTGAACCTGGGCCTCTTGGAATGTGTGACTGCTCCCCACACCTCACCCGACCCTCACACGCCCCCATTCATCATTGTTCTGGGGCCCAGGGCTGGGCTCTGGACAGAGCGCGCTTCCTGCATCCCTGTCCTTCACGTGAACACCTCTCAGCGAGGAGTCTCCAGAGCGTAGCAGTGCATGTCGCACCACTCACCCCGACTCACAACGTGCTGCTTCCTACTCCTTCACAGACATCTCCCTTCCGTTGTGTGATGAGCCCTCGGAGTCGGAGCAGGGCTCTCTCTCTTCCAGGGGCAGGTTGTCTATTTCGCTCACTAGTGCACACGCAGCACCCCAAACACCAGCCGCACATGGTAGCTGCTCGATAAACAGCTGCTAAGCAAAGAATCCTTGCGCGAATAGAGCGACGGGAGTTCTGTGCGACTGTGTCTAGTGTGGAAGACAAAGGCCAAGAAGCACTTTTGTTTTCCACAGAGAATGTGAAAGCAGTAATAATTCCTGAGGAAATGTCGGTGAAAAGAACCCGTCGATCTGTTAACAGTAAGGGCTCATTCCAGAAAAGCAGCACGGCGCTTGCCTTCGGTGGGATCACCCCCAGTGGCTGGAGCGTCCGGGAGGAGCGACGTGGAGGCCGAGGGCGGGGGCGAGACCAGCAAAGAGTGTGGACTCGGTGCCAGGAAGACAAGGTGTGCTCTATGCTGAAGGTGAGCAGAATGCCATGCCAGTGCTAGTGTGTGCATGAAAGCTAGCACGCGTGTGCATGCATGTGGGTATGTGTGCTAACAAGTGTACATGCATGTGTGCACGTGAGTGTGTGCACGTATGCACATGTGTGGATACACTGTGTACAGGTGTGCATATGCTAATATGTGTACTGCATGTGTGCACATGGGTGCGTGCATCTATGCACATGTGTGAATACACTGTACAGGTGTGCATGTGTGTGTGTGCCTGTGTGAGTACAGTGTACATATATTTATATGCACATGTATGTGAACATGCACGTGTGCACACATGTGTGAGTGTGCCTGTGTGAGTACAGTGTACACATATTTATACGCACGTGTGTGGACATGCATGTGTGTACACATGTGTGAGTGTGCCTGTGTGGGTACAGTGTACACATATTTATATGCACATGTGTGTGAACATGCATGTGTGTACACATGTGTGAGTGTGCCTGTGTGGGTACAGTGTACATCTATTTATATGCACATGTGTGTGCACGTGCATGTGTGTACACATGTGTGTGAGTGTGCACATGCATGTTTGTGGTGATGCAGGAGCATTAGGAAGGCACCGCCAGGACTCGAGAGCAGAGGAGAACATGTTATGCCACAAACACAGACTACATGCACATGAGAAACCAACAGGAGCGCTGTGTCTGGGTCAAAACCGACGTGGCTACCAAGCAGCCCCTGGGGAACCCGAGGAAGTGGCACTGGAGATTCACGTCTCTCCTGAAGCCCGTGGTGTGGGGTGGTCAGGGCCACAGCCCACAGATGGTCCTGTGTTCCTAGCGGGGTCACTGGGCTCCCACGACCCGCTCTGTGACGCAGACAGAGGACCCCTCCCCTCACACACAGGCAGCATCCGGGCACTTTTGAAACCAGAAAGCTGGACGCCAGGGACGCCTCCAGGTTCCGAAAGGAAGGTCACATCATGACACCAACACCGAGTTCGGGCTGAAGCCAGGGCAGGAAGGGGTGTGGGGCCTGAACGCGGGCTCAGGTGAGGCTGAGGATTTAACGCCTTCACGGGGCAGGGGGTACCTTGGGCCTCAATGGGGTCATGAGCTGAAACTGATCCCCTTGAAAAATCCACACCCATATATGCATTAAGTTTCCTCAAAAGTGGGACCAAAAGTTCTACCTTCCAGCCCTGAAGGGGGCCACGCTGTTTGCTGTGGAGCCAGGGCTCTGGGGGTGGGGGCTGAGGGCTCCCCCTGAGAATTTCAGCCACAAGCCATCGCCCCATGCAGGAGAGTCCTGTTTGCACCGTCAGCTGTCAGCGAGTCTCCGGAGAACTGAGCACGAGCACCGTGCAGGCAAGTGAGACCGCCGGCGGCGGCAGCGAGGGCACCTGCACGCCACCTTCTTGGGTCCCTCGACGGCGAGGACCCCACGAAGCACTGTCCCTTGAGAAGAGCTCTCCACAAATATGTCATCAAAAATAAGCCACCCGCAGGTGAGGAGAGGGGGCCGGAAGCAAACAAACCCGCCACAAAAGCTTGTAAAGAACCAAACAGTATTTCTCAACATTACAAACTGTACCCCAAGGTAAAAACGCTAATGGGCCCAGGATACAACAGATTAAACATCACTAAAGGGAAATTAATGAACTGGAATGCAGATTAGAGCACAGTGTACACAGCGCAGCATGGAGAGACGAGCTAGAGACACAGAAAGGTGCATACAACGATGGGAGAAGGCAATACCCACAGAAGACATTCCAGCAAGAAAGGAAGCACAAAATGTGTGTTTTTGTCAAATACAAAGAGAACGTGGTATGAATTCATTTAGACTTACACATGGCTCCTCACAGTGCGGAAGTGTAACCAGTCGGAGCAGGACAAATAAAACAAATCCACAGGCCCATACGTCAGAGCGAAAGCTCACAGCGTGCGTGTGTAAAAGCCACCAGAGGAAGATTTCCTGCAGAAAGGATGTCCGAGCGCAGGCAGAATCCCCACCAG